ATTTTAACAACTCTGAGCTATTAGCTAAGTTCTCCCCAAACGAGCTTGATGGGCCGAATGGCCTCCTCTCGTTTGTAAATTTCTTATGTTCTTATGTTCTTATGTAAACAGGCACTTAATTATGGTATTTCATTTTGCCTGAAGCTAGACCCTCTTTAAATGTTGTTTTGTCACAGAGAATTTATTTTTCCTGTGGCTCTTGAGTTGATCATTATGATGAAACCTTGATCCTCAGCAGCCATGACCCTCCCAGCTTTTCTCTCTCTGATATAAAGCCCCCCCCACCAGCAAGTTTGTTTAAAGCTCAGGCAAAATTTACTTGATTTATTGATACTACAAGAGGGGAATCTAAAAAAAATCATCATTCATCGCCTATATGGTGATATTTCCATATCATTTCATAGAAGTTATCAGTCATCTATTATAAGTAAATGCTTGTGCACCTGTGTACATGCTAGTCAAATACGACATGGCAGTATAGTAAACCAGTGTTTCCAACCCGGTCATCAGCTCCCTGTCAGACAGTCCATGTTTTTGCTCCCTCCCAGCTCCCTGCCAGACAATCCATGTTTTGCTCCCTCCAAGCTCCCTGCCAGACAGTCCACATTTTTGCTCCCAGAGCTGGAAAGGAGCAAAAACATGGAGCTCTCTCAGTATAACTGAGAACCTAGAGTTTCTGCTTGTGAATCTCCTTGGGCCCCCCTTTAACAAACCACATCTGTAATGGCAGGAACATGTAGGAAATGGCATCCCCAGCATCTCCAGAGTTAACGATTATCAACCACCATGGTCCATTGACCTACATCCGGTCTTAAGCGAAGGTCACAGCCAATGGTAGCTAACTGCCCTGGACCTTGTCTGGGAGATGGATCGCAGGTGTTTTCCTGGCGCAGGTCACCGTTGGATTCTTCCCTTAGCCCTTGTAAGGTGATCCAGCATCTTTGTCAATGGAACAAAAGCGAAAAAAATGGAAACACATTCCATTCTCTAAGGAATGGTGGTGAAGTATGGCTTTCTTTCTAAGGGTCTTTTTTTGTTTTACTCTTTTGTTATTGCCCTGGAAAAGAAAATGAAGAACCCGGAGTTCAGTGGCCCCAAGTGTGGCATATTTCATCACCACGATGGGGTTTAACATCCCAGAGAGCGATCCTCTGTAAACTGCGGTTTTCAAATGAACTCTTACAGTTTTCATTTACGGCTGCTTATTTTGCGGTTGTGTGGTGGTAATTTGACTCGTGATTACTGACTTAAAATAATCCTGTAATTCTCGGTTTTAGTTTGCTGTGGATATCTTATCATCCGGTGCGGGGGGGTGGGGGGGAGGTGTCCTTCAGAAAATCTCCACACCCAGAGTAGTAAAGCCATCTGACCCCTTAACGAGCAGTTTGGTGCCTTTTGCTGCACATTTTCGTGAGCCTTGTAGATCCAGTTAAATAGCCACTTCGGCAATAACAGCTGCTGTTTCTGGGACAGGCCCCTTATCCACTGGTAATTATTCTAAAACAAACTACCTAGACAAACTCATCCCTCTTTTTCCCCTGATAATACAGCCCGCTCCATTACTGCAGTGCCCTTAAAGGAAAAAGCTATCGTTCTTGCAGTGCCAGAGCCTGCAATGCAGCTGGGCTTTGCAGACATTCACGTAGTTGGCCTGGGGTTGGGAGAGTCGGAAGGTTCTCAGGCGATGGCAGAGCATCGCTGTCCTGGCCACTAGGCTGCTTTTATAGATACAACATGCTTCTCTGTGTCAGTCCTCCTTGCTAATCAATATGAACAAACACATGCCGCAATTCCTCAGCTGAGGAGGAGGAGGGAGAGATCGGCAAGGGCCAGATGTGTCCCTAATGAGTCATTTCCTCATTTCCCATCATGCCTTACCGGCTGTGTGGGAGGGACACCGTGACGGACCTCACCGGGGCAGGTGACTGGGTCAGGGTGCTTCGCCCACTGCCAGGACGTGGAGCATAAATGAATGGATGGATGGATGGATGGATGGACGGGCTTGAGGGTCATGGGCTAAGGTTGATCCTGTCTGCCTCCAATCACCATGCGTCTTCTACTGCAGAACATGGGGGACAGCAGAGCCACTGAATCTGTGCTGACCCCCCCCCCACCACTACTATTGTGACGTCATCGTCGTATCTCACTGCCCGCTTGTGCTGCCATGGCAACTCTCAGGAAGCAGGGCGAGATGAGGTCATCCCGTGAGCATTTGTGTTTTCACTGGGTGGCGCGAGGACTATAGTGCAAGAGTGTGACGTGAAAATAAATCATTGCATTATTACTCAAGCTTTTGCCCAAATGTCACATCACTTTACGATATTATGATTAGGAACCTTATCAGATGTTTGGCAGAAGGAAACATGGGGCGTGCGCCGGCCCCTCTGACCCGACCCAACCCAACACGCCCCCTCACCTCAGCACCACCCAGAACTACATAACTTGAGACAATTCTCATTAGAAAGGGGATCTGATGTATGTACTCTGGTACTAAGTAACAGTAACAAGTTGGAGTACAGAAACTATATTATTTGTCACTTTGTGGTTTATTTACTGTTCATTTAATAATTGGTTTCTATTTAAAGGAATATTTTTGTACTAATGTAAAATTTTCCCCGAGTGGTTACCATGGTTACTCTTCTTAAATGAGTTGTGTGTGAGCCTCTCGCCGTTCGCATTGCTATGTCGCCTCCTTTGCGAACTACACTTAAATGGCCCTTGGTTGGCTGGTTAAACTGTAAAAGGCACCGAGGGCTCGGCCATGAACAGAATTCAAGGAGCCTTTGTGTACCTTTGACTCCGTAGAATAAAAATGGCCACTGGTCTCTTTAGTGCGAGCCAACTCAGACTGTATGTAACGTTCCTGCAGTGTTTTGACATTTTTCTTTAACAAGGAATTCTTTGGAGTAGTAACTGAAATAAGTTTTGTAAGCTATTTCTTTGTTTTTTTTCTTATAATATTGCCAAAGCATTTGCAACTCTGTTTCATTAAGTAGTCACAGATTGTAACTGTTTCCATCAGTAAATAAAAAGGTTTTTCTTAGAACCTTGGTGAAAAGTATCGGGAATTTACATTGAAAAATATATTTGTTATGGAGTCCATGAAATGGGGAGGTGTGGCTGATGTGCTGCGTGCTTTCAGACGGGGCTGTGCTGACCCTGTATGTGCCTTCCCTGTCGTAGATGGGAGGAGGAGCTCTCCAGATGCCAGCAGATGGAGTCCATGATGGAGGCCCTGCAGGCGGTAAGATCACGCCTTCGTCCTGTCCTGGTGCCTCTTTCCCGGGCTGGTTCACACGGCCATTCTGACTGAGCAATGCTGCATCGATCCAAGGAAAGCGTAACACGAACAGTCCGGTGCTCCACAAAACCCAAACGGTATTTACCTGCCAGAGGCAGAGCCCGTGTGTGTGTTTCTGCCGCCGCTCGGTGCTCTTTGCCGGTTCTAGGTGACGCCCCTGCGCCTGAAGTGACCCCAGTGGCTCCGTCTGTTTCCTGTACGGGGAATGGCTTTGCGTGAGTGCGCCTGTAATTCATGCAGCTGCCGCACGAGATCAATAAACACCAATACCTGCATCTCAGCTTGTCTGCGGGTCAGCAGAACCGTTGTGATGACGTCATTCCCAGTGGGACTGTAAGCTCCCCATTCCTTACTGTTTCTTTTTTTTAAGATCATTAGGCGCTTCGGTGAGGGACTGAGCAAGTTCCTGCATAAATCACAAATTGTATCGTTGCGCCTTTTCAGCTGGAGGAAAGAGTATGCTTGGGTAATTGTAGTAGCTATTTGTTAAATGCATGCTAATATTTGATAGCTTATTAAGCATGTGTGTGTGGGATGAAAACATCATGCCATAAATGCCCAGTCACTGCAGATTATCTGTAGGTGGGGGATCCTGTGGGGGGTGGCTTTTCAACCTCACCCTCAGTTGCTCTGCATCATCTGCTGACTTCTGTTAAAATCAATCACCATCTCCCGAAAGTAATATGACTGAAGACGTTCAGATGCACCCCGCTGCTCTTATACCCAAAGAATAACTTTAAAATGTCCCTCCTCCTCCCAACAGTGACCTGTGTTATTCACCAACAGCAGACCTGCCCTTAGCTCATCTCCCAGTCCTCTCCCAGTATACCAAGCAGCTTGTTTCTACTGCTTGATTGTTCATCTGATCAGGGCAAGCTGGACTTAACAAGATGTTGAATTTTGAACGTTCCTTGACGTTACTCTGCATTTTTCTGGCTCAGATTTGTAATGATGGAAAAAAAAAACTGACCCCCGTTTTTTACTAAACCTCTTACCGTATGTGAAACTAAAAGTAAATTGTGTCTCCAGACTGATTCTCCAGCTTTCTGAATTACCCTGATTATGTTGCATTTCTTTGTGGATCAGAAGTTAATGCCATCATACCACAGGCAGGTGTTTTTGCGTGACCGGTGCTTGAAGTCATCTGACCAGGATCCATCGATAAATAATTCTGAATTGCACATTGACCCCTGACCCTTCCCTCTTTGGCAGAGTGCCCAGGAGTCAGAGGTCATTCAGGAGGAGCTGAAAGAGAAGGTGGAGAGATTGAAGGCTGAGCTGGTGGTCTTCAGAAGTCTGGTGTCGGATGTGAGTATCCTCTACATCAGTGTTTTCCACTCTGATCCATGGGGACACTCAGACAGTCCACGTTTTTGCTGTACCGGGAGCTGGGAAGCAGCAAAAATGTGGAGTGCCTGGCATGGAGCTGGGAGGGAGCGAAAACATGGACCGTCTGTGTGCCCCTAAGGACCGGGTTGGGAAACACTGCTCTGTGTCTCTGTTACCTTTCACTGTACCATTTCTGTGATTTTATGATATCGGTTGTGAAAAATATAAAAGTTCTAGTTCTGTGTTTCTCCACTAATTGTCATTACCGAACATGAGTGCTGGTTATTTAAATAGCCTGTAATGAGGCTTAATTAAGTCAATGATTGAGTTAATTACATAAAAAAATTGAGTACACTTAAATAATATAATTAAAATCATACCTAAATAAATAAAACCAACTAGTTTCTTAGTTGTAATATTTAGGAGTGCTGCTGTTCTTTAATTGACCATAAAAAACAATAATGCAATATTCATAATTAATTTTCAGTTCATGTCTGTTGCCCTTGAACAATTTTTTCATCTATATGCTTTTGTCTTTATCAAAATAAGGACATTTATTTTATGAGCATGATATTAATATATGGAAGGTGTCCAGGTAATATATTCTGAAATTATTTTAGTTGAGCAGCGATATCAAAATAAATTTATAATTTTACCAGTTTGCAAAAGATATTTATGATAATGCAAATATCTTTTTACTTATCTGAAATCAGTAACATAATATTTTTGCATAGCAGTGGAGTTAAATATTTCTTAGATATGTTTGTTTAATTATGGTTAAGACTGATCTGGGCTGTTGGAGATTCACTCCAGACCTTGAACTGCTTTCTGTAAATTTCTGTTTCTTACTGAACACAGTAGTCCAGGGGTGGGCAATCTTATCACCGCAAAGGGCCGGTGTGTATGCAGGTTTTTGGGATAACTTTTTGTTCAGCTGTTCAAACCCAAGTGTGAGGACTCTTCAGCCATTCAGTCCTCTAATTAGTAATCTAATTAGGGAGCTGCAGTGAAAAGCCGCACACACACCGGCCCTTTCTGGATAAGATTGCCCACCCCTGCTGTAGCCATTTGAGCAGTTGGCACCTTGCAGTGTGGAGGGATTATTTGGAACAGCATGAAAGGAGAGAGCCGGGTCATGTGACCTGTTTCTCTGCAAAACTACATATTTTGCATTTTGATGTCTTCCTGCACTCTGCTTTGGTCACTGGATGAGCATATTCGCTACACTAAATGTATACAGTTATTCTGTATCCCGTGGTCTCTTTTGGTTTGTATTTATATGCCCTGGACAATGAACCTACCTCGCTACACCTGGACTCGCTGCCATCACCGGCTCTCTGTTGTCAATGTCCCACGGAACAATGCAGATGCTATGTTGCCTTAGACGCGGTCTATTTTTTCATCACACATGACAAAGGGTGACCGGCGACTTCCAGACCTTTCTAGGGGGCCGTGTTTAAGCCCAGTAGAGACCGTCAGGAAGAACTGGGGATTGAAAGTAAGAGCTGGTATTGGCCTGCACCACATCCACCTGCTCGGCTAAAACCAGACTATTGTGGAACAGCAGCAGGACACACGCGAGGCTGTGAAATGAAGGTGCAACGAGTCTGTTCTCATTCCCGGTGGAAGACAGCTTGTTTTCAGTTCAGTCTATTTGTATGGCGCCCTTCTTGAGCATGGATAACCCCAACAAGAATGATATCATACAGAACTGTGCAAAAGTCTTAGGCTGTCAAAGAAAATACTTACAGCAATTTATCTGGGTTGTAAGTGTATATTTCCTCAGAAAAAAAAATCATTTATCATTAGAACACATGCAAATGAATGGTGACACAATACAAACTACTGAGAATTTCTACTTTGCTCCAAAAACCTACTGATATCTCGTTGGACGGCAAGATGAACCCCGCTTTCATTCCCAAACCTCTCCTCAGGGGCACCGCAGCCATTCCACGTATTTGTCAAAATTCACCACCAGCTCATTTTAATTAATTAATGTAACATGTTAAATAATTGGATGAGGTACTGATTACATAAACAATGTATGCTAGTATGGGTGTATGAGATGGTTACTGCGAATACTAGAGTAGCTTCACGTGAGGTTTTAAAATGGCTAAGCTGATGATAGTATAATTTTACACCAACATGAGGATCATTTAAACCTCATTTTCCTTGACTGCCTAAGACTTTTGCACAGTATTGTATATGGGCTTGAAATCTATACAAAGGTTTAAAAAAAACAGATGATATCTGAGAGTGGACAATTTCCAAGATAGTTTAGACATAAAACTGCAGGCTGACTGATTGGCCGGCGCCCCTTCTTGTTTTAAAGCATGAGAGCTGGTGGTCAAGTTCCTCATGCTGTCAGCTTCCTGCTCTAAACCAGTGCTTCCCAATCCGGTCCTCGGGCTCTCACACACAGTCCATGTTTTTGCTCCCTCCCAGCTCCTGAGGGAATAAATGTTGTAGCCTGTCTGGCAGGGAGCTGGGAGGGAGCAAAAACCTGGACTGGCTGTGGGTCCCGAGAACTGGACTGGGAAACACTGGTCTAAACCACAGATAAGGTCTTCAAACAGTCTCTTGTGATTTTCTTGACCATATCTGTTCCACATTAGGTCCATCCCTTGTGCCCACTCATTGCATTCTCCTGCTTTGTATTGTGTTATGCGCTCTCACGTGTTACACAGTGCACAACTGCAGTAAGCCCATATGTGACTGGCATGTATGTAGGAGCTGTGAAGCCGCACAGATTTGTGTTTGTATGGGTTTGGACCTCATGATGCTCTGAGACTTCAGTTCTAGTTCTGGATCAGAATGAGTGACATTGTAGACAGGATGGTGTGAGGTTCTTCCCTCCAAACACATTGCATGCCGTTTAACTTCCTGGTTGCTTTCATTGCCAGATTGACCCAGGAGGTGTCAAAGCGTCATCTCAGCTTTTATTGCTACTGTTGGAAGCTCTTGGGCTTTATTTTTGTCATGGTGCAGCTGCATTTTAAATACATTCTGGTTATACAGCTTTTTACCCTATGAGAACAGCTACTGAAATCAGGTCCAATTCAAACAGATTTTAAGTCGTTTTTATAGCCGATGATAGACTATAATCCATAAAAGAGACCAGAGCTTAACGATTATTGGGACAGAAAGAGACAGATAAATAAAACACTCGATGCAAGGAAGGGATGGGATTCTCCGTAAACCATCACACTGAACTGGCCTTCTTCCTGTTTAGCAAATGTCGGAGTTGGACACCAAGATCCAGGAGAAAGCCATGAAAGTGGACATGGACATCTGCCGGCGCATCGACATCACGGCCAAGCTGTGCGACGTGGCACAGCAGCGCAACTCGGAGGACATGTCCAGGATGCTCGGTGTCAGTGGCTGTAAAGGAAAGTCCGATCAGAACAAGGTGGGTGCTCACCTCACCAACTGGGCCCAGCGTGACCATCCATTTGGCATTGAAACTGTGTGTGTGTGTGTGTGAACGAGAGAGAAGAGAGAGAGAAAGCGAGAGAGAGAGAGAGGTGCACTTAGATAGTACAAACAGCACCATGTGACACATGGATGGAGGAGACAGATTGTCAGGGACGAAATTCAGCAATCGCTCCCTGTCTCTTAGAATGGCATGAATGTGAACTGTACCATCCTGGGGAGGGAAAAAATAATACATTATATTTTTGCCTCTTTATATGGAATAGACAACAAGCAACGCTGCAAATTCTGGTCACGTCTCTCTTCTTCCCAAGAGTCCCATACTGGTTAAACTGGGGTTGCACCAAGAAGGGTGCTGGTGTGAGTCCTCGCAGGAGCCCCCCCCCCCCCCCGAGCATGATGTTTAGCATGAAACTCCTCAGCACAAGACTGCACGGAGGCATAAGCGAACTATGTGGCTGCTTAGGGCCCAGCGGCCACCAGGGGGCCCCCTTCTCTGATCAGTCTGTCAGAATAAGGAGGGAAGATGACATATGATAACTAAATAAATCAAATTTCGCTTAGGGCCCCAAAAAGGGTTGGGCTGCCCCTGCTTCAGCGAAATGAATGAGCATGAAGTCAAATTTGCTGAAAACCAAGTGTGACAACTAAGCAAAGGAAAAAAAATAAAAATAAAAAATATATATATATATATGAATGATGTGCACTGCAAATGCGACAAGGACTTGCGATGGCGAGGAGGCACGTTTAATGCATAAGAATGTGCAGGATTTATGCATGGCACAATGCCGGCAGAACACACAGAACACATTTAATGCAGAGAGTCGAGCTGCTCCCATTCTGCCCGTGGAGAGCGTGTCAGTTATTAAGCCGATAGAGCCATGCAGCGTTATATGGGAGTTATGCGGCGTTCACCTTGGGATCGCAGCTGCTGCTGGGGCTTCACATTTTAGCTGATCTGCAGAATCTTTTCTCCCTCAGCTTGATGACAGAGAGCTGGGTTCATGCAGCTTTGCCACAAACGGCCTTCCACCCATAAACGGAGGTCGTCTTGTCTGGGAGGGCAAACCAAAGGGCAAACAGGACAGATTCTAGTGTGTCTGAGCGAGACCGGCCTAAGGCACGAGCAAATGAAACAGCTGCTCAGAGCCCAGACGGAAGACGACAAATGACAAATAGGTTAATCAAATTATGCAATAATAATTTACTTGACGGGGCAGAAACACTTAGTAATGCAGTAGCACAAATCAGGAACAAATCACGAAAAAAAATATAGTCGCTACTTCAGGTAAAAGATGCATCATGATTCATTAATGATGAACAAACATGAGATCAGTATTTAACTCATGTTATTCATGACTTGTTCCTTCAGTAGTTAACAAAGATTTACAGAATTAGGCATAGTAACAAATATAGTAACTGCTTGAGAAAACATGTGTCACGATTCATTAGTATGTTTTTTTTTCTACAGCAGTGGTAAAGAACAATAAAAATGTGATGATTCCTTTGTTTTTGTGTTCCAGGGCACCATGACCTACAGGAAGAAGGACCGCAAGGCCGTGTGGGAGGACGACAGCTCCGAGATGGACGGCGACCCCAGCACCTCCGAGGAGGAGGCCCCAGGATCGCTCAACATCACGGACGAGATGAAACGGGTGCTCAACCAGCTGTGAGTGTCCCGTCTCGCCAGCAGTGTGACTCACTGTAAACCCTTGCCTTGGAATTAGCTGATTTCCTGTTTCCCTCTGCGCATTTCCTGTGTGTGTGTGTGTGTGTGTGTGTGTGTGTGTTGAATATGGCGGATCCTCTGGGCGTCCCGTAGGGAATCTTTTCCTCCGCTCTCCTCGTCTGCGTTGGCGTCTCTCAAACACAGAGTCCGTTCCTTATCTGACAGGAGGGAGACGTTCGACTTTGACGACGACTGCGACAGCCTGACGTGGGAGGAAAACGAGGAAACCCTCCTTCTGTGGGAGGACTTCGCTAACTACAACACCCCCGCGGCCGTGGCGGCCAGCGCTGACTCCCAGGGGGACAGTCTGGAGCCTGTGAGTCCCTCCACCTGCATGCTTCAGCTAAAACACCCGCCTACATATTAGCGCCTGGACAATAGCATAGCTACATAGATCTTCTTATTAACAGACCTGTCTACACTGGTATACCTGTACAGATATTTTCATTAGTAGACCTGTCTATACTGCCATACACCTACAGATGTTCTCTTTAGTAGGTTTATGTAAGCTAGAATATCTATGTAGATCTTCTCATTAGATCTGTCATATGTGCATAGATTTTCTTATATGGAAACCTGTCTATGATGGCATTTTTCTCATTGCTACTCTTGCACACTGTGCGAAAAGATCTTGCTGTATGCTTGGGGCGTGTCTTTACATTAGTACACCTCTGCAACTTCAAACAAACACTCAAAGCGTCAACCATCTGTTAAAAATGCTGCACCACTAAGGGGAAAATATTTATGAAGCAAGAAGATTGATTTGAGAACGATTATCGAGAGAAAGCACAGAGGCGATTTTGCTGAAGCGTGCGGTTTAAGCTCGGCGTGTCAGCAGTGTTGGCTCGGACCCCCAGGACTCTCAGGATGGAAGCTTGAGGAACCTCATAGATGAGACAGAGTCGCTCTTCAAGAGCAGAGAGCAGGAATACCAGCAGACGATTGGGGAGATCGAGGTGAGGGCCTCACCTCTTTGGTGCCGTCTGCGTCACATTCCCCTTCCACATCTATATTCACATTACTGCTCTTCTGACATATGAATACCTCTCATTAGTGGACAATAGTGTGCTTTTAAAAATGCAGAAAATTTTCCCTTACATTCAGGGATTTCACTGGCCTCCCGTCTTACTCTCGCTGTCTCTGTATTCCCCCCAAGATGGAGCTGGCGTCGGCCAAGAACGACATGAACCGGCACCTGCATGAGTACATGGAGATGTGCAGCATGAAGCGTGGCCTGGATGTGCAGATGGAGACGTGCAGGCGACTGATTAAGTGCTCTGGAGGCACCGGCAGGTAGGATTCCTCAAAGAGCATCCCAGACCAGCTCTACATGGATAACATGCGATATAACATGTTATATAACATGCGATATAACATGCAATTAACATGTGATATGCGATATAACATGAACAAATCATTAAAAAAAAAAAGAAATGAATGATAATGGTTCTACTTTGACAGCGATCAGATGAGTGAATCTTTGATGCACACATGGCTGACCTGTTTGTTTCTGTCTGTCTTTGTCGGCCATAGAAATTCCCCGTCTTTCAGTTCGGCGGCCAGCAGCGACTCAGGGAACATGGACGAGATCCAGGACGACCTGGAAAAGGACAGAGAAGGAGAGGGCCTCGTCAGCTGATGAAGACTACGGCCTCTGTCGTCTGCCGGCTGACCCCAACAGACTAAAGGGAAACGATCAGAGGAGTGGGGAATGCACACACACACACACACACACGCACACACACACACACACACGCTCGAAAGCTGTGTTCCTCTCTCATCAGCGGGACCCTCACATTGGGGGCTGACTCCCACACCGTGAGTATTGGTGCTTAACGTCTCCCTCTCCCCCCGTGTGGGTAATGGGCGGCTCTTCCTCGACTTCCTGAGCATAAAACTACACGGACGCAGCATCTGTTAGTGTTATCTGTGCCCCCCCCCGTGCTGTCACTGCCGGGTCCCCACTTCCTGCTGCTTCTGTGCCTGCAATCCCATGAGCCTCCGGGGCACCGCTCACAGACCTCCCCACCCCCGCCCCCCCCGGAGTTGGGCCGGAGGTGACTTCGGCTGTTTGAGATGCCCCAGGGAACCACAGATGAGCCCCCCAGGACAGATGTCGGCAGCTGGAGAGGTGATTAGAGATGCGATAGGGAGGAACACAGCTATCCGAAACGTCCCAGGATGCCGCTTTACGCGGCGGACAGACCCATTGCCACCGGACAGTTTGTACCTCACGCCTGCCAACGTTTGCCAGAGTTCAGATCTGTAAGAAAGGGCCCAGCTGCCTAGAGTCATATAGGAGATTAGGGGGAGATTACAGGAGGTGACTGAGAGCGTTGTGACACACACAAGGAGCCGGGAAGTGCCCCCCTGCCCACCCCAAGAGCCCCCGGAGCGCTAAATCCGGCCAGTGGGCAGCGCGCTGGGACCAGCGGGGATCAGCGGTGCCTCAGGTGATTAGCGCGGCCTTGCTGAAGTGCTTGTAAACACTGTGTTTCACATACTATGCAATAAGCCTATTTTGGACTAAACCTTAATCACTATTATTTGCCTTATTATGTTGCTGGGCAGGAAACATGCTTCTGTAAATAAGATTTAGTTCAATTCATTTTTTTGATCAGAGGTGCACAATGTTTACTTATTTAGGTAAAACAGAACAAAAAAGGGAGCAAAGTCCACAGGAATATTTAACAGCGATGTATTTATTTCCCAGTATAAAACCACGTGCCTACTGATGTTGTGTACAGTCTGATTTAATTGCCTTATTCCATGTTTTCAGTTATGTTAATTGTACATAGTTTTAATACGTTTTAAATACAGAATGTTGTGGAACTGAAAATGGCCAGCTGAGTTTTAATATTCATGGGCACTCTTTAAAGAGTGAATTTAGTTCAAATTAATTTAAATTAGTAAAGTCATGGACCACATGATTTATATAAACAGTACCCGAGGTGTGACTTAGGAATCTTTCTGCTCATCTCAGACTTGATAAAATGTGTTACACAAACATGGGCAATATGTTGAATGTTTGAACTTCTCCAACAAACTGTCTTACACCAATATCCCCATCTTTCCTTTGTTTTTGAAGATATCTGTCATGTGTTTTTATCCCTGACCAGTCTAAAATCACTAATAGTGATTTGTACTGCTGAGTAGATCACTAATCCCTCATTGGCTCAGTCTGCTAATGATATTCTGAGCTCATTGGCTGAAAGCATGAGCTAATTAGTTTAACTCGCTCATGTGAAATGCAATCATTATTAAAAGGTAGCTTTTTCTTTGTATTTTTTTCTGTTGTACTGTTTTCCAAATTTTGAAATTCTATATTTTACATCCATTGTATATATTGTTTTCTTTTTTATCAAATCATGCCTGAAAGGTCTGTTATTATTCAAAACATATTTCAAACAGGCTTTTTGTTATTGTAATGGGTTGTGCATTGACTAATCTTTCAATAGAATACAATAGTAGCCAAAAAAGGAAGGCGTAACAGACTGTATTTTTTTTAATTTACCGGATACAGCTTTGCGTAGCCTCTAATACCCACTGCATTTCTGATCAAACTTCATTACACTCTGAATTTAATAAGGGCTGTGATATCTGCCACATGTGTACTGTACCATTTACTACACAACGCCAGATTTTCTGCAGTGGAGGGGCATTTAAAGACATTGATCAGTAACATCAGCTGCTCCATGTAAAGACTTACTGGGGACCAGTGCCCCCAGCAATGGTATGAGAAAGACCTATGTCATCGGCCTATCACACTTCAGAGCTTCTGCAAAGCCACAGCAGTGGGAACGCCTCAGCAGGCTGCCTCATTGCTGCCCCCTGCAGGTCTGCTGTGCATCTGCACATCCGTGGTAGTTTAGCTGAGAGCAGTGTGTGGCCAGTGGCCTGTACTACAAAGCGGGGCTGCTGGCTTATCGGGGTAACTTGTCGGATTTAAGGTACCACAGTTTAAATGGACTTCATATTCGTTCACTTACATTTTGCCCAGACTACCTTAAATCTGACAAGTTACCCCGATAACCCAGTAACCCCGCTTCGTAGTACAGGCCCCTGAATTCTTTGGGCAGATGTCAGGGACTCGCGTGAAAACTGAAAATGATGTAGGTTGGGGGTATTAGGAAGATTCCAGAATAAGCGACTACACGTGTTCGTGATTCTGTAGGGGGACCGGGATGCTTTCTGGGACGCAGAGATTAGTTCTGCATATGGGATTTAATCCTGTGCTCAAATCACTTGTGACACAGTAGAAGTGTCACACTGACACTGTTAATTCTAGACTTGACAGTATAGCAGTCATTCATGTACTGCTGCCATTTTCCTAGGCATACTATTGAAAAAAATAATTTTATTGTAATATGCATTTAAAAGAAAACCACTTTAGATACAATAAGAACAATTAAGTACAATTTATAATTCTGATGATTCACGTGCCAAGAAACATTCATGGGGCACCTAGAAATGTAATATAGCCTACAATAACAATTGGGGAAAATAATTTGAATCCGTCCATTATAAAGTACAAAGTACTTTGGGTCCTTTCTCAAAAACTTTTAGGGTTTTTGCATTTTATCCGCATTTCAGTTATATTAATTTGCATATATATCATTTATTTTATTTTGGTTTTTTTTTTTTAAGAAGAGGGGTCCTGGTCATTATGTACTTACTCCACAGTTCTAACTGAAAAAATAACACGCAGGACAATCTGTTTCTCTTTCCTGTAAAGTTAAAAGCACGTCAGTGAAAATACATGTGAGGAAAAAAAAGGGTGCTTTTATAAAAGCTTGGAGAGCCGCAGCTTCTAATCCTCAGATTCTGATTATATACTTTGTTGGCAATTGGTCATATGCGGGCGAAGACATCACCGTTTAATTTTATTCGATAATTTTTCAATGTCAAAACCCTCCCTGAAAATTATGCCCCCCATAACCAGCATTAATAACTATGATTAATTTTGAGCCAAGGTTAGATGCATGTGAAATATGTTATTTAAATGTTTTTTTTCTTCGTGTTTTTCGGAACTGCAGTCTTCCTGTTTCCGTCAGATTCGTTTGGGAATGAATAGCTGTGTATGCATGTTAGAAATGTACCAGTAGGGGGCGATAGAACAAAGCAAATTACTTTCAGTGCTGAACCAAGAAGACATTCGCAAACGTCACCAGCTTCTGTTATCAGTGTAGCTTTTTTACAAGGCAATCTTTTTTATAAGAATGGAAAGAAATTCAAAAATGTTTTAGTTTTAATGTAAAGAACCACAAGAGCAATCAAGAAAATTATATTTGTAACAGAAATAAAACACAACAACAAAATGGGAACGGTATACGCTGTATGTACGCTTTTTTTCCTAGCTGGTTTTGTAAGACATTATGATAATTATCACAAGTTGTTGCTTAATTTTATGAATCTGTCTTCTTCCATACACACGTTTTTTTACACTGTACCTTCGCATCCCAGCGTGGGGCAGAGCGGCGTGCGGCCGTGCGCCTGCGGCGTTTCGGGCTACCGCAGGATGGCCGCACCTCCCGCTACTCTCACATGCTGCTGTATCTCATCTCCCTACGTCTGATGACCTCTGCTGTCAGAGCCCACAGTCTACAAAAGCCATGACTTATTCGCAGAGGCAACATAAAAGAAGCAAACTTCTATGTCTTTTACTTCATAATGAAGTATCTATGCTACTTTCTGCTGGCTTAACTGTATTGTCTCATATACAGACTTATCTCTTGTACTTTTGGGTAGCATGAAAGAGGACGCTCTTTCCCAAAGGTCTCTTGTGTAGTTTGAGGTTTTCTGTATACTGTATACCGTACTGGCCTTATCGTCGGGTTGTATGTCTGTGTCTCATTAGCCGAATGCTAGGTGTGCGCCATTCTGTACAGTGGGTGTAACCAAAGTTCCGGTTGGGGTCTTTGCTGCAATGCTGCCTGCCCTTACCGGCCCCTTGCCCCCCGCCACGGCGTCGGGGCGCACTGTTGATCGCTCCCAAGGCCCCCGCAAACGAATTCTTATTTTACAGGGTGGTTTGGGGAAACTCATTTATATTCATTAGATAAGTTATCTGATTAACCGGTGAACGTGACACCATTGATATGTGCTGCCTGTTTTTTTCAGGGTGGTCTGGGAAACTCATTAATATTCATCAGAGAAGCTACCTGATTGGCAGATGATCTCTGTTACAGACATTCATTGGCCAATCAGGTAGTGCTTCTGTTATGAATATTAATGAGCTTTCCAGACCCATCCTATGACGTGAAATATACCCCCTGCAGTCTCTGCATGTCATTCCAGTTCCGGGTTCCTGGTAATGTGGGGCAGGTCTGTCCCTCCATTTGCATTTTGCAGCGAGTGAATTGGATTAAATGTTGCTGTCCTGACAGCTGTGGTCAGGGCCTCCACATCTAGCCTGAGAGGTTTGCCTAAGGCTTTGTAGAAACACATCAGCCTTGAGTAGACCCCCCCCTCAGGTGACAGATTAAACGCCACAGTCCCCGTTACTGTCTAACCCTGGGTGCTGTAGCCATTTTAATGTTTTGTTTTTGTTAGTCTGCTGTATGCCACCCCTTTCTTTCTCTAAGTCCATTATTTAGAAATGTGTTCTCTTTTAAACATAAAGTATAACTGCGTTTGCATTATTTGTTTTTAATTTTTTATGCATTTTACAATAACGTCTGTTTGCCTTATCTACAGTATACAGTTGGCATCGGTATCAAGTGATTGCAGCTGGTTTCCGATTTATTCGTAGCCTTTGTGTAATATGAATAGTTTTGATAAAGCAATAAGGAAGCGCCTTTGTTACTTTGGCAAATTTATATTGTTGTCCTTGCAACAATACTGAAAGGCATGTTTTAGATGATGGGCAAATGTATATTAGGAGTCTGGACAGTCATTTCCAGAAAGTCATAAACTTCAAAATGACTAACAAAGATCATATTCCGCTTATGTTTTAGATGCCTCACTTTGGTTAACTTTGAATCTATCAATATGGCACAAATCCATCAAAACTACTGCCTAACTAAACTGAGTCAGAATACTGAATTGGATACCCTATACAATAAAAGAAGGATATTAATAAATTAAAGAAGCCAGTCTGTAGTTCGGTGAAATAGTTTGTTTGTAAAGGGGTTTATGATTTCAATGTGGGTTTGAGAAAAAAAAAATAATAAAAATATGATCAACTGTGAATTTCTGAATTCTGGGTTTCTTTAAATGCATTGTTCTCAGTTTTTATAAACACTTTGGAGGTTTTAAAAAAAATCATTGTCACACATTGGAAGTTACCCTAACACTGCATACATGCCAGTCATATAAGATCCTGGGGGGGGCATCCAAAGAACTACAGGCCTCTGCGAAGGTCAGTATTCATGACTCCAGGAGAGAGAGAGAAAAACGAGGTTCATGGGAGAGTAACAAAGCTGTCGTCCCTGCTATCCAAGAGTAAAGTCAGTGCTCATTGCTCAGCCATCCGTGTAAGAACAACGGAATACCTGCAATCACACTCGAGTGGTGTGAAGGTGTGGCGACGCTGTGCTGCCTCTGCACCTGGAAGCCTAGACACTGATAAAGATAAATTCTTTATTTGTAATGCCGACCCCATCTTGCTCTACATAGCTTAGAGGTTACGATGCTGGGTTAACCAATGTGTGGCACCTCTCTAGCTGGGTGTTAAGGGCCTTGCTCTAGGGCCTACACACATGTGACTAACTGAGACTAGGGCTCGAACCAGCAACCTTCTGATCACAGGCACAGAGATTTAGTCCACTGATCCACTCACTGCCCCCTATTGAATGAACCATGAATTCTACACTTTATCATACAATTCTTATAGTGAATATTCTTATAGTGAATATAAGTTGAGTGGAGGGTCCAATGAATGTCCTGTCCCGAACCCAACAGATGTGCATTGGCAGGGCCTGAAACAGGAAATTCGTGCTGGAAGACCTACCAATGTCATGGGATTACAGCCAGTTACTTTTTCACATGGGTAAAAGGGGTTCCTTGAGTAATCATTCAAATTCTGTATTGTGTGTTCACTCAAGTTGCCTTTCTCTAATATTCAATTCTGTTTAAAGATCTGAAGCCATTCATCATTGGAAAATATGTAAAAGCTTTAAATGATAACTCTCACGCTGCAGCTCATTACTCTCTGCACGGAACAGGAAAAAATGTGCTGACATGCAGGAACGATCATGTTAAACTTAATTATCTGTACTGTAAATATCCATAGATGTTTATTATGTAAATCTTTTGAGCGACTGTGTGTTGCATGCATAGATTAATGACCCAAACAATTTCATGACCAGTTTGAATGACTGTCATTCTGACACAGTTTTGCAGATAAATCACCATCTTTTTTTTTTTTTTATGGCATCCCTGATTTTCCCAGCAGGTGCGTAATCATCCTCACAAACCTGCAGAATCTGTTCTCCATGCAAAGTTGCAAACACACACACACACACACACACACACACACATACATACATACATACATGTGCTGGATCTTTGCCCTTCAGACTTACAAAAACAACATCCTGATCCTCAGTTTGCTTCCTGCACACAACCTGCACACTTACCAGTGAAATGATGTACCGCACAAATCTGCTTTTGCATAAACCAGTGATGTGCTGACGGCTTATAAACAGGCAGCCCCTTACATATGACACAAACCCTTGTATTTGCATGTTTGCATTTGTTGACATTTCAAATCATGGTAAAGAAGTGTTGATCGCAGCAGCCAAGAACCGCTCTGTGGCGTTTGACCCGGGACCACGTCGGAAAATGAAAATCATGCAAGGGATTGTATATAAATTAAATAAATCGTACCAGACGCGAGTACCACTCCAAAGTCTGATGCTATCGACTTTGTTTCCTTTATTTGTGGGACATCCTGACCTCGATGATGAATTTCCATGAATTATTGTTAGCAGTTGCCAGAGTCAAGCTTACAATTAATTGGTAAGACCAACAGTGCACTTGATCTGTGCTGTACCCTAAAGGCAGAGAAAATAACAGGTTCTGTGTGCATCAGATACATGCACTGATGCATAAGGTGTGTGGGATCTAGTTTTTTCACCCCCCCCAAGCACAAACATCAAACTCCACCTATGATTGTTAGGGCCCATTGCCCAAAATACATCCTCTGTTTGGATCTGGGCTTGACAATCAATCCACACTTCTCAGAGCACAGCATTCCAGTGTGCGAACTTCATACCAGCGAATGGCACTCAAATGAGTGAGGAAACGTCTTTGCAGCTACACATAAGTGGCTAAGTGTTAGGGAAATACTTCACTGTCAAGGAGTAAACTGTATCTAATGAATATTAAAGCTTTTGGTTTTTCCTTTATCTTCTATCTTTCATCTCAGTTCCCAAAATAAATATCTTGGAACCCAGATGACCTACTAAAAAAATGTTTAAAAAAAAACTCAGAAATCAGGTAAGAAATCAGGCTGCATATCTGTCATCATAATAGCTTCTGGAAAAACTGATCAATAGGCTTGACATTTTGAAGAACTCAATTATAATGATGGACAAGCCTTCTGTGGCAGAATTCTTCCCTTCATAATATATTGTGGAGTTAATGGCGATACTCAGAAAGCAAAAGGCTCCTTTCTATTAATTCTTAGCCCTCGACAGCATGTCCATCACACCCGACTATTAATCATCATCGGTTATTATGCATGTTTAGAAGCACGATATTCTCTCTTTCTGTTGGAGGATTGAACCGATCACTGCGGAGGCCTCCGTAATTAGATTGCCCTTCTAAGAGAACAGCCTGTGTTATTGTTACGGAAAAATCGATTTAAAAAATCCTAGGAGAAAATGATCCCTCCATCTTCATAATAGATGAAAAGATAACGCCATCCATTTCAAAGCTGCTGATTGATGTTGCGCCTCCGTGTGAAATGATCGTTTTCCCCAAAAGATGTACACGGACTTCCATCTGACACTACGGCACGAAGCCTTGATTTTCTCCATAATAGCCTCATTGATGGACAGCTCAGGGCAGAGAATAGCTGAGACCATCACGAAGGCTCTGACCTGCATGGCCACAGAATGGACTGACTGGGCATTGGTTACACCAAAGGCTTGAGTCCCACTGTTCTCTGTAAATCCAGGCAATGAAACTTCCTTTGCAGCAAATTCCATCCATCCATCATTGCTTAATCCCTAATGGGGTCACAGGTCAGACTAGAGCCTATCCTGGGAACAATGGGCACAGGCAGGAACCAACCCTGGGAAGTCACCAACACACCACAGGGCCAATTTAGACTCGCCAATCAACCTATCCTGCATGCTTTTGGACCGTGGGTTGGAAATCCACACGAACACAGGGAGAGCGTGCAAACTCCACACAGAAAGGACCCGGGACCGAACCTAGAACTTTCTTGCAGTGAGGCAGCAGCACTAACCACTGGATCCTCTTGTGAGCCCAGATTGTAAGTAAACACTGCTCCTGTGCCGTAGATCACAGCGATATTTCCGCTGAGATGTTTGTTAAACATTTGTCGCTACCTGATCTGTTCCTTACGGGTCCGCTTCATGTATAGCGCACATGTGTGAATGCTAGTCGCACTATTGACATCGTGTCAGTGTTCCATGCTTGGGCACAGTTAGCAGTCACACTGGATTAGTACCATGCACAAGTCCAACAGAACCGTGCCTATGTCCACCTCTTCAAGTGGGCGGTGCCCGGTCACGATACAGAGATATCACACTAGTCTACTAGACTTTGGTGATGAAACCTGCCCGAGTATGGTATGGATTACCTAGTGTGAGTACAATACACCATGTTTAATCTCAGCCAGGCAGGAATCACAAGATAAACGAGCAGGAACCAGACAATGATGATGAACGCCTCAGTTCTTTGGTTCTCCCCACCTTGTGTCAGCCTGAATACTCAGGCTTCGCTTGTTGATTTGCATAGACTAGCACCTTCCCTTCTGGTCTCACTATGGAGTGAGGACTGGATGGTTTCCTAATTTCCATTATTGTCACCTGGCTGATTACAGGAGGCCAGACAAGCTGATAAAACAAAGTGATAAAACAACCAGCAATACAACAAAGTAATACAGCAAAATCCTACAAATGCCAGCTAGCAGACAAACCTAGAGGAAGACGGTAACTGGACTCTTTAATCCATGTACCTTGAGACTCGAACATGTGTCCAGCACCCAGGAAACACATAATAGGTTCAGTAATATTGTTTTGAGGCAGCTCAGGAGAAAACAGACTCTGTGAGACCTGCATTAATTTTAAATGAATGGACTTTCACCTATTATGCCGTTGTCACGGAAACGCTTCACCTGTTTGAGGAAAGGCTTAAAGCTTGAAGGGACTTTTTGGACTCCATCCTCGAATACAGGCTCTTGTGTCTGATGGTGCCTTTGGGAGGGCTTAACTGCCCGCCGTTGCATGGCACTCTCTTTTTGCATGCCATTTTACTGTGTTGTGCTAAGGACGGGAGTCCAGGTTTTGGATTACTGACCACAGCGCATCGGCGATCCTTCAGGGCAGAGGATCACGCATGCAAATGTCCTGCATGTGACGAGGCCAGCGAAGCGTGCAGCTCCTCACAATGGCTAAACTCGTTTGCCTAATTGTAACCTTTCTATGAAGCTTGTTATGTCCTGTTTTGCTTTGCTGGGAAATCACTGTCCTCCGCCCTTCACTGAGCAGGGTCACATCTTAATTGATTTTGGGACTTACTGATTTCTCTCATAAACAACCACATGCTTCTAAAATTATTTTCCACTTTAGCCGATCATTTAGAGACCTGCTGATTTTATTTGGTGTCTCTCACACCAGGAAATAACTTGTCTCCATGAAGTAATCCACTCTATGACCATTAGACGGTCATTTTTTGCAGCTGTTTGGGAGCATTAAATAGAGCCGCTTTGAATCTGAATCTTGTAAGACGATCAGTGTAAGTGGACCCCTCCCTCACAGATTCTCCTCAATTCAAACACTGATAAGACTGTTTAATGTCGTTAGAAACTGGCTACAAGAACAATGTCCTGCTCATTAATGTTTATTATCATTATTATTATTGTTGTTGTTTGTTTGTTGTTGTTGTTATATGTTATGTTCACTAATGTGTATTGTTTGGCCTTAAGACCTTTTATTTATTTATCTTTCTTATGTTTAATTGTTTTTGTTATTTTCATTCTGTTCATTCTGCGATGTACCAATGAAGGTAAATCTTCAAATAGACTATGAGAAATAAAAAAGAAACTTGCTAGATGTGAATGATGGGGCTTGTCCGTCCCAATCCATAGTCTGAGTCACCCAAAGGTAAACAGGTTTTAATTACGCTTCAAAGAATTGTGCTATTAGAGTCTGTAATATTGTAATACAAGAAAATTTGTAAGGATTATTTCTGTTCGAGCTTCAGCGGTGGAAATGAACCTGCCTGTGGGCCTGTAGTGCTGAATGAACTCAAACTGGCTGCTTCATTGGGTCACAGTAAACGCAGGGGTTTGAGTGCTGTCCTGTTCAGAACCGGTCATTTGGGAAGGTCGGCGTTGCCGTATCAGTGGGACGAGTCTTGCGGGAGTCGATTTGCTTGTCTAGGATCACTTGAAAATATGCAAATGCGCCCAGCTCTTCAATAAGAGAAGGAGCCGGTGCTGCAGACACCCGCGCAGTGAAGAGGTGAGACCCAGTAGACACCCGCACGGCGAGGAGGTGAAACCCAGCAGACACCCGTGCAGCGAGGAGGTGAAACCCGGCAGACACCCAGACGGTGAGGAGGTGAAACCCAGCAGACACCCAGACGGTGAGGAGGTGAAACCCGGCAGACACCCAGACGGTGAGGAGGTGAAACCCAACAGACACCCGCGCACCGAGGAGGTGAGACCCAGCAGAGACCCGCACAGCGAGAAGGTGAAACCCGACAGACACCTGCACGGCGAGGAGGTGAAACCCGACAGACACCCGCACGGCGAGGAGGTGAAACCCGACAGACACCCGCGCGCCGAGGAGGTGAGACCCAGCAGAGACCCGCACAGCGAGAAGGTGAAACCCGACAGACACCTGCACGGCGAGGAGGTGAAACCCGGGGCATTCGGTGGCACCATGTCTCCGCGGGCAGTCTCCCTCCTTGTGCAGCTGGCATTCTTCTCCATCTGCAGGAACCATGCTCTGCTCACGGACAGCCCCCCCCACTCTGAACTCGAGATGCCGGGGGACTATATCATCGCGGGGCTGTTTCCACTGCACAGTCTATCCTACACTTCCAGCTTGCCTGATCTTTCTGATTGCCAGCAGTGAGTAATATATGTGCAGATAGCAGGAAGGACAGCAGGTGGCGAAATGGCTAAAGATTGGGCCTTATAACCAGAGGGTAGCTGGGTCACGTTGGGGGGGGGGCGGCTTCCCATAGTGACCTGCTGCTCTGAGTTGCTGTAGCAAAATTTTCTGCTGTATAAAGGGGCCTCTGGACCGTGAGCATGTTAAATGTTCGGAAGTCGGATGGATGTATGAAAGAATAATAGGATGGATGTAAGATGGATACAGAGATTATAGATGTAAGACAGATAAGGGGTGAAAGAATCCACTAAACAAGTCAGTGACGTCCTAATTAAACCTATTTGTATAGAACAAGTATGAGTACTTAAGTGTGGACGCCAGTGGGGTTGTTTGTACGTTAATGCATATGACATCAGATTAATCATCCATAGAGATGAGGATCTTCTCATTCCTGCAAAGTGTTAAGACGAAATGCGGCGGAGATGTTTCTAACCTGTCTTCTCTTCCAGGGGCACTATGAACAAACATGGCTATCATTTAATGCAAGCTATGAGGTTCGCCGTCAGCGAGATAAACAACGGCACCAAAGACGGGTCCTTGCTGCCCAACGTCACTCTGGGATACCGGACCTACGATACCTGCTCGCTGCGGGCCAGCACTCTGGTCACCTTCGCCTTGCTGGAGGAGCAGTACAGGCAGGACGTGGGCCAGCAGACAGGGCAGGACAGCCCGGCCATCGCTGTCATCGGTCCGGACAGCAGCAGCTACGCCTTCTTCCCGGCGACTGCTCTGGGGGCCTACATGCTGCCTGAGGTGAGCTCTGCTTGTTCTGTCCCTTTAAGTTCTATATGTGCATGTGGTTCCGCAGGTCTAGCCTCTGTGCCCGTGATTGGAAGGTTGCTGGTTTGAGGCTGGCTTTGCCCAAATGATCGCATGTTTGTAGGCCCTTGCGGAAAACCCTTAACCTCCACCTCTGTATGCCAAGGAGAGCAAGAGAGGGTGGGTGAAAAGAGAATCAGCCCAGAGGATCAATAGAGTATCATCGTTACTACAGTATACTAACCCAGTGTTATATGTGTAATATTTCAGATGCAGATGTTAAAAATCGTATAGCAGTAAAAACTGAGACTGAATGAATGACTTCAGCTTAAGCTCAAATGATAGGCAGCTATAGGTCTGTGTATATATCAAGGCTGGATCATTTTGCTTATTTTTGTTTATCCACACTGACTCTTTACCTGACTCTTTACCATGACTCTTTACCATTTTTCTAGATCTCCTATGAAGCTTCAGACAAGATGCTGAGCAATAAGCTATTATATCCAGCGTTCCTCCGCACGATTCCCAGTGACAAGAATCAGGTAAATGCCATGATTCAGCTGCTGGTCAGATTTGACTGGACGTGGATCGCTTTGCTCGGCAGCAACAACAATTACGGCCTGCAAGGCATGCAGAGTCTGCAGGAGGAGGCGGCAAACTATGGCATCTGCATCGCCTACCAAGCGGTGATCCCCACCTACACGGACGCCACGCGGCCGCAGATACAGCAGATGGTCAGTAAGATCGTACAGACCCAGGTCACCACCATCGTGGTCTTCTCCAGCAAGACGATAGCCAGTTTCTTCTTCATGGAAGTGATTGAGCAGAACGTCACAGGAAAAGTGTGGATCGGGACGGAGGACTGGTCGGTGGCGACGCGGATTTCTAGCATCCCCGGGATCGATACCATTGGCAGCGTGATAGGGATATCTATCCAATCTGCCACAATGCCAGGTTTTAAGGAGTTTGAGGACTTCTCCATGGCAACATCCAAACAATATGACAAAAAGTATATGGTTTCGGGGGACTCGGGGCTCAGTGATGTGCCCTGTGTACAGAACACCATCCTCAGCAAGTTTGCTTCTATAGATCTCTCTCAGGACATGTATGACATCACTTCTTCCTTCAATGTCTACAAGGCGGTCTATGCCTTGGCACACGCCTTGCACCTTCTGCTTGACTGTGATTCCGGAAAATGCCAGAAGGTGCAGACTAAACCCTGGCAGGTGAGTGGTTTTGGTGTGAATTTAATCAGATGCCCTAAAGCACGGAAGTGTTGATCTCTGCTTCACCAGCCGAAAACCGCCATCAGATTCAGATTTGATCAACGGTTAATTCCCCAGTGTGAATCCCCTCTGTGTTCTCTTTGCTCTTAGCTCTTGCAGAAGTTAAAGCAGGTCAGATTTCTCATTGACAATACGTCAATGTACTTCGATGCGAATGGAGACCCACCTACTGGTTACGACATTGTAACATGGGACTGGACTGAAGGCAACTGGTCTGTGAAGATTGTCGGGGAATACAGTCCAGACCCCCCAAATCTGACGGTTGATATCAGCCAAATCTACTGGAACACAAACGACCACAGCAAGGTGAGATGCTGTTTTATAGTTGAAATTCTATATTTCTATTAATTTCTGTAATGACCAAGCACGTGTTGCCTTCACCTTCCTCCTTCAGACACCCAAGTCAATCTGTTCCCCCGAGTGCCACCCAGGTTACGCGAAGATACTGCGCGGGCAGCACAAGTGCTGCTTCGACTGTCAGCCGTGCCCAGAAGCCACTTTTCTTAATAAGAGTGGTGAGCAAACAATGCCAGTCAAATTCCTGTTAGCTTCTTAACCTTCAGATTCAACATCGACAGTTAATTGCCCATGTGGGCTATACATAGAGGTTACATGGATGGGAATGCAGTTTGGATATGGAGGGAAGGAAGGAAGGAAGAAGCTGTGGAAAGGACCGGTGTGCCGTATGGATGGATGGATGAGAGAAACAAAGAAAGAAAGCTATTTGAAAATGGTATTATTATTATTGATGTTGTTGTTGTTGTTTTCCTACATGCTGTTACTTAAGATCCAACAATCTGCCAGCCTTGCGCTCTTGACGAATGGGCCCCATCTGAGAGTGCAGAATGTCTCAGTAGAATCATCATCCTCCTGCAATGGGAGGAACCTTTATCCCTGTCGCTGCTGTTGCTCCTGGGCCTAACCATGCTCATGACCTTGGGCGCAATGGTGACCTTCCTGCTTCACCTGGACACCCCCGTGGTGAAGTCTGCTGGTGGGAGGACCTGCCTGGCAATGCTGCTGTCCCTGCTGGGGGCCGCTGGGAGCTCACTCTGCCACTTTGGCCACCCCAGTCACGTGTCTTGCCTGTTCAAGCAGTCCCTCTTCAACCTCAGCATCACCGTCTGCCTGGCCTGCATCGCCGTTCGTTCCTTCCAGATAGTCTGCATCTTCCAGCTGTCCTCCAAGCTGCCCCGGGCGTATGACACCTGGTCCCGAAATGACGGCCCGCAGGCCACGATTCTGCTCATTTTTGTTACAGAGCTCTTCATCTTCTTGCTGCGCATAGTCTTGGACCACCCTGAACCCACCCGCGATTACGACTTCTACAACGACAGCATCATTCTGGAATGCAGCAAGCCGCTGTCCCCTTGGGCCTGTGTGGAGCTGGGCTTCATGGCCATCCTCTGCATCCTCTGCTTCTGCTTCAGCTACATGGGCAAGGAGCTGCCGGCCAACTACAATGAAGCCAAGTGCATCACCTTCAGCCTGATGATCTACATCATCTCCTGGATCAGCGTCTTCACCATGTATTCCGTCGACAGGAGCGAATATTTCAAGGCTTTACACGTCATGGCCATTCAGGCTAGTGTATTGGGTATTCTCAGCGGCTATTTCTTACCCAAAGTATACATCATCCTGCTGAAACCCCAGATGAACACCACAGCCCATTTCCAAAATTGCATTCAAATGTACACTATGTCCAAAGAATAACAATCTACTGAATGGAACGTTTTTCCCATTTCTACCAGTTCCTTTGCAGCAAATAAATGATCTGTCCTGGAAAGGCTGAATGAAGTGGATTTCTGGTTTCAGTTGAATCAGGACCAGAATGATGCACTTTGTTTGGTAATTTCTTGAACTTCTTCCATATCTTTGCAGTGTAAGCCAGTGATGTAAATTAGATTACAGAAAACACACGCTGCACTTGGAAACCAGAAGAAAATAGAAACAAGGCAAATATTTAAGGCTGACCCTCTGAACACCGTTTCTCAGTTTTTTAGTTTTTTTTTATTTTAGAAGTGCTCAGTAATGAGTTTGAGGTTCATTTATGTCTCTGTATTGTGGGAGTCTAGCCCCTCCATTCATTCATTACCTAATGAATGAAGGCGATAGTGCTTGGTGTAACCTCAGTGTTTACGGGTTTAAGGAATAGGATTTAGTGATCAAGGAATAGGATTTAGTGATCAAGGAATAGGATTAAGTGATCAAAGAATAGGATTAAGCGTAACAAAACTAGTCACAATTACTTTGATATTTATTTTGTTTTCTTTCATACATTGAAACATTTTATTACCTCCCACGCTGTGACAAACCAAGCAGCACAGAAACATTAATCTCATAGTTCATGTATCACCTTCCACATTTAATAGAGGGGTTCCCACAAACAGCCATGGTTTTTGGGAAACGTGGTCATGCACACACCTGTATTAAATCAGCAATGTTATCAAAACAGATGTCTACTTCATGGTCTTTGCCTCATGCAATACAATAAACAATTAATTAAAGTGCTACTTTTGAAAAGCATCAACTAATTACAAAACACAAAACAAGTCAATACTGGTTAAAACTAATGATGTGCCGGTACTGTAGACATATGCCAATGATGCAGAAGTGCACTTGTAATTGAAAGATTGCTGGTTCGAATCCCCAACCAGCAAGGCACCACTGAAGTACCCTGAGCAAGGTACTGCCCCCAAGCACTGCTCCCCGGGCGCTGAATTAGCTGCTCCCTGCTATGTCACGATGTCACATATGGATTAAATGCAGAGGACACATTTCGTTGTTGTGCACTGTGTGCTGTGGTGACCACTGATCACCAAATCCTAAGTCATCAGTACATTATGAACATCAGTCAAAAGCAAAAGAATAAAAAATATTACAACAGAATATCTGGAATTAATATCAGGTGTTAAATACAGTTTATCAAACATCGATTTATCAGTTTTGGAAGCGTGTCTGTGTGGCCCGGGGTATTTGTGATGTTTTCCGTTGTTTATGTTTTTGTTTGTCTTTATTTTAAGACAACATATGCAGGGACCGTCTGGAATTCTGTGCAAGGTGTCCCCTGTCTCATGCCCTGTCCCTCCACACTGCCACCCTGTACTGGAAAGGCAGTTATACTGTAGAAGAGTTGTGGATGGATGGATGGATGGATGGATATACAGGGAGAGTTCCTCTGAGTTTAAGAGCAATCTTAACATCTGCAGGTCGTATGTGGTGAATGGGGCTTTGAGAAAAGCCTGGTGACCCCGAGCTGTGGGAAGGTCCAGTGTGCAAATCACAGGCCATCTGTTCTACATCGTACTTTGTCTTTTACTTTTTCCCACACTGCGTTCACTGGCAAGTTCCCAACGAGCTTCCTCCTTGAAATACTGATTGATTGTAATTAGCTATATATATATTTTTACTCTTACTGCAGACAAAGATTATTAACCACATATTTGGCCCCTAAAGTCTCATAAGGTGAATTTTTTTTTATCTTGTGCGCACAAGTTAATTATCTTCTGGGAATAAGTTATTATCTCCTGCACATGAAATGCAAGGTGCTGATATCAGTTCTGTGCACAAAATGAAACATTGGTTTTGATTTCTGAATGAAGAGGTCCTCCATGATGGGGAGTGCAGGAGGAAATGTATATAATTCACATTTAATTTTTGCCATATACTCATTTTGGTTTTGGAATAATCTTTATTAAAGCTGCTTAGATAAACTGCTCTTGTAAGAGTCTTGTCTAACTTGACAAAAAATGTTTAATTCATCAATAATCACCAACCTTCAGAAGGTTCATCATCTCAGCTGTTACCTTATTTCTATATAATACTGAAAACTCTGCTGCTTGAAAATATAATATAATATAATATAATATAATATAATATAATATAATATAATATAATATAATATAATGTGACACAAGGGGTTGATCCCCTAGAATTCCACTAGAATGGAATGAGATTCCTGCATTCCTGCATTTGTAAATACCTTGCTGGAATAATGTAACAGGTGAAGCAATGGATTTCAAGTGAATTTATTCAGTTTTTATGTAAAACATTACATAAAAAAAATAATCTGAAGAAAATAAATCTTCATATTGACAAATAATGTTATAAACACCAACTTTAAATGGGAATGAAAATCACTGTCATACTCCAGGATTACTCTTAGAGTACAGTCCTTATATCAGAAAATCTTTATTAAAGTTATATTAACATACATTATGTATCTTAAACAACTTAACACTTCTGGACAGTTGAAATATACACTGTGGATCCAACTTTGCTAGAAGCAGTTTTACCTTAACGCAGTTGTTGGCCTTAACTCAAGTCTTCATGCCATGTTTAACTGGAAAGTTTATAGAAAAACCAACATAACGGTAAAAAATATTCGATTCAAACAAGGAGTCTCCACAAGAGACACTATTTATACACATTGTAAATTTATATATACATGAGTAAATATCTTTTCTATGTTTTCGCGAAACTACGGTATTCTTATTTAACAAGAAACATCAAATTAAGGCTCACTTTTTCGGCAAATCACACTTTCCCTCAATAAAAGGAATTTGTTTAACCTCCTGTCCTAGTGCAGAAGAGAAAGTCTATACAGTGCAGACTTCCTTACAGATGTAAGTACTTCCAGTGTCCATCAAATAGACAGCAGAGGATCTGTCTACAGGACTCCAGCTGGGCCAATGAGGTCTGGGGAGTCTCCCTGGAAGAAGGAGGCTGTTTCTCAGTCTCCTCCCATTCTGTCCACACTCCATTGGCAGAACGCTGGACCACCACCTCTTGGAGATGGCCAAGGTAGCCGGTTGCTGTTCATCTGACAGTGGAGTTGAACTCTCCGGTTGGCAGCTTGAGGAGACCCTCCTCCCTGGGAGGTTCTGGCTCCAGAACAGGATGGCGTTTGTTTAGTGCCATCGATACAGTAAGCTGCCCATTGTCCCCCATTGCCTTCTCAGCTCTAAAGACAAAAGCAAGATGAGAATTAACCGCGAATCCTCAGAAGCATTTGCTGGTACCTTTAAATTGTTTACTCACCATATTGGCCAGTGGGCTGCTCCATTGGGCTGAGTCAGTGTCTCCGTGGCCGTACCGCGCCGCGCGTGTGCCGGTCCGCGCTCTGTCAGGTTGCTGGGTTCCTGTTATAGTGCCAAATCTGCATATGAGTGCGTGGGGTTGAAGCTGGTGTGTTTCTCACGCTTTGCTCTGAATGGGGGACCCACGGGGGGGATGCAGGGAGACAATAGGGAGCGTGGGGCTGCCACATGTTCATTATGGAGTTTAGTGCTGGGGGGTGGGGGAAGCTTGGGGGGCTTTTAACGGTGGCCTGTGGTGACCTGGTGGAGCTGGGAAAGCAGTGACCCTGTAAGCACAGGGACTGGTGACACTGGTGACAAGAGCAGATGATGCTAAAAATTACTGTGAAAACCCGTCGTTCTGAATTATAAGAAATATTCCAAGAAATATTATTACATTACCTGAACTGTTGTTTTTTACATACTATCTTGTAGTTCAATACTCTTTCATGCAGCTAATTTTTTTACTGGGCCAATTTCCATTCTTATTTGTTACATTTTTATTATATTGTTATTTTTTGTCTTATTCATTTATTGCTATTCTTTTTTTAAATTAATTTCAGAGTTGACTGCCTTTCCTTTCACTGCAGGTTATAGTCTGACTGTATACCTTGCAGATGACAAATAAAAACCCTTGAATCCTAATTCAGGTGAAGTGCGCAAAGTTGCTACGTCAAGACCCGTCCAAGACCCTGAGCCAGTAACTTTCAGCCAATAAGAATCATAATAACCAAATGCACTGAATAAGCTTCCCAGGATGAGTCAGCAGGGGGAGCCCTGGAGCAGTGACAGAGGGTTGAGGCAATGAAACACTGGGTTACTAAGCAAAAGGTTTTCAGCTTCAGGGATACTGGAGTTTGAGCATCATAATAATTGCAGTAGTGATAGTCAGTTTATAAGTATAATACTCATAATAATAACAGTAAATGTGAAGGTAATAAAAAACATGCAGTGATCTCAAGCACCTGCTGGGGTCACAGCTTCCTTAACCCTGTGAACGTGGGAGCTGCTACGATGCAGGGGTTCCCACACACAGCCATCGGGGGGGCTGGGGGTGAGGGTGACATGACAGGAGCATGCTCGGCCATACAAAACAGCACTGACGTTAACTACCCCCCAGACACCCGACCCCCACCACCCAAAAACAACCCCAAACTGTCACTCAGCACAGTGAAGGAGCGTGAGGTGCCTTTGTGGGTCCTGGTCAGGCCATCTAGGCTAGAACCACTGGCTCTCGTAGGAAATAGTCACATTTTCTTAATATAATATAATATAATATACCGTGTTTCCCCAAAAATAAGCCCTAGTTACTATCCCGTGGATTGTACGGTAACTAGAATGAGATGCGATTATATGTAAACAGGAAATAATATTTTGACCCCCAGACAAAATGAGTGCAAAAAGAAAAAGCTGAGTTGCGGGATATTCAGGATGGAATTTGGAGCTTGGAGATTTACGATGATGTTCCAGAAGAAGATAAAATGACGACTATATTTGAATAAATGTATACAGAGTAGATTTTTGTTCATGAATAAATGTACCGTTAGATTGTTTATATGGAAAGATACAGTTAGAAGATGACATGATGTCTGTATTTGAATAAATGTGGATTTTTGTTCATGAATTCCGGTAAATGTACTGTAGTTTGTTGTACATCCCCTGAAAAAAAGCCCTAATGCGTCTTTTGGAGCAAAAATTAATATACAAAAATTAATATAAGACCCTGTCTTACTTTCGGGGAAACACAGTAATAATAATAATATAATATAACAAGCAAAACAACAACAACAATAATAATAATAATAAAATAATAATAATAATAATAATAATAATAATAATAATAATAATAATGGAAACTGTAAATGCCCCTAGTTTGATGAATATGTGTGTGTATGTGCCCTGTGATGGACTGGCATTCTGTCCAGGATGTCCCACAAACCTGTGAATAGGCACCAGTATTCAAATAGGTCCAGTATTCCAAGCCTTAAACATA